GAGATCATCAAGAGACCGGCAGCATTGACCCGCGCCGAGTAGGACCGAAAAAGGTGAACCGGGCTCCTTCGTTGTCCGGAAAGAACAGAACCCGACGCCCCTTGCACAACGTCCTTCCCAGTAGCCTCAGCCACCACCACCGAAAAAAAAATTCCGCAAGGAAAATCACCAGTATCTTGCTTCCACCCTTCCATCATCTCCACCAAGCACTTGGGAACATGATCGCCGAACACCTCCATGCGTCCTGTCACAGGATCAAACAGATAGCCCCATGCGTCACCAGGTTGCCCTCCTGCTCGCACGCACCATCCGTGACAATGAGCACCGGAGGCTGTTGCGACCCAGCTCCCACGCACCTTGGTCCACCGGAATTTAAGAGTCTCCAATGCAAACCGCAGAGCCTTGAGGAGATCGTCCGTGTGCTCACGGCCCTGGTAGCGATCATTCCCCCGATGAGAGATGAGTTGCGTTGCCAACTGGGCACACCGCCCGAACACGCGACCAGCAGCAAACAGCAACTAGCCCTCGATGGATAACATTCTCTTCCGATCTCACTGACGCTCTGACAAGCACTGCATGTTCACCTCTTCGATGACCTCGAGGCGCCCTGGCTTGCTTTCACCAAGACATCCCCTTTGGCCGCGCGTTCGAATGAACTGGTTGCTCCCCGCATGTCGAAGATTCGATCAAAAGACCAAGGCCTTAGCCCCTTGATCAATCTTCCGGCCCAGTAACCCGAGGACCTCTTCGGCAATCTCCCGTGCAGACTCCTGTAAAGGTTCGAGCTCTGGCCGGCAGAAATCGTCCAAGAATTGGTAGCCCCTGGTAGTCACCAGACCGAAGAAAATCGAGAGGATTCACCTCAAAGCCCGGGCAGCCCGGTTGAAGCCCGTGACCTCGCTCACTGCACCAAAAGGCAGAGCCACTGCCTCAAAGTAGCTGACCTCCCCGAAGTCCAGGTTGAGCGCGGCCACGAACGAGACCCAACCACCTTCGCAAAAGACGAGCTCTGCCTCCCCGCCAGCCGGAATGCAACCTCCCAGTTACCCATTGCCCTTTGGAAGCAGGAAGGCGAAACGTCGCAACCCCAGCCGTCGTGGCCCCTAGGAAGGACCGCGCCAAGGCAACGATATTATCAATGCCTTCCAAGGTAATCTTCTCTGTGTCCGTCACTTCAGAGTTGATAAGAAATTCTGAGAGATCATCCACGCTCCCCACCTTGTTTGACTGGTCCACACCAAAGCGCTTCGAAGGAATCCAGCAGCCATTATATTCTTCTCGAGCTCGGCCCAAGAAAGCGGCCCATTCATCCAAGATTTCTCGACTTGCTCGAGCGTCTCGGCCCACACTGCCCTGGTCACATCCAAGTCGCTTCGAGGGAATCCAGCAGCCATTATATTTTTTTTTTGGCCCAAGAAAACGGCCCTTTCATCCAAGATTTCTCGACTTGCTCGAGCGTCTCGGCCCACACTGACCTGGCCACATCCAAGACCGGAGATGCTATCTTGCTCTCGGCCCACACTGCCCTGGCCACTTCCAAGTCTGGAGATGCTTTCTTGCACGATGCCTCGACAAGGTGTTTAGCCCATCGAGCAGCGGCTTTCAGCTGCGATTCGTCCAAGACAGCAGGCTTGAGCTTCCTTGGGAGCTGCCCTGACGGCTTCTTGCACGATGCCTCGACAAGGTGTTTAGCCCATCGAGCGGTGGCTTTCAGCCGCGATTCGTCCAAGACGGCAGGCTTGAGCTTCCTTGGGAACTGCCCAGACGGCGGCAGCGAGCCAATCAAACGGAACCCCCGCGTCAGGTCCTCAAGAGATAATGGCCCTCCACCCCTGCATCGCGAGCCATCTCCTGGAACACCGAAGGTTCTCCCGGTCATCACCTCTCGCACCTGTGGGTCCATAGTCGCCTGGAGAGCCTCTTCATCGGACCGAAGCTCAAGCTCTCTCCGCCGGTAATAGTCAAGAGTTTTCTGCAGAAGGGCCTTAGTACCTTCCACACCCCTCTCCAAGACGACTTGCATAGCACGAATATTACCCATGTCCAAAGTCGAAGGTTCAACGAAGGGATGGCTCATCTTTAAAGCTTCACGCAGGAAAGAATCTGGTGTGCGAAAAATTCCAAACTTAACCAAACTTAACCACACGGACACCTTCCTCCCCCCCTTCATCTGTCACTGTCCGAGAGTTGAGGAGTCGAGACCCCACGGCAGGCCTTGGACTGGCCACGGTGTTTGGCCATCGATCACTTCGAGCACGCACACTGACAGGTACACGCACTGTACGCGTAGAGCCAAACTCAGACGGCCCGGCCTGGAACGACGGTCCCCTAAGCTATCGCCCGGCAGCGGCAGCCACTCCAAAAGCCTCACACACGACCTCTTGGGCAGGAAAAGCGGTACGCGAAGCACAAATCTCCATGAAGTCTGAAGCAGCTGCCTTGCAGAAAACCCCACTGCCCCCGTTGCGTCTACGTTGCGGTTGGAAGGCCCTACGACCTGTGGGCGTGGGCCCCGGCTCATGTGGCCTGCATGGAGGGCAGCCGACGCGTTAAGAGCAGTCTGGTAGCCTTTTGCGGTCAGCACCATACATGCAGGCATGGGAACGCAGGGAGTGCAAACGGGCTACCCACGACTTTATCTGTCGAGTGGACCGGCGCTCTCCTGACGCACACACAACTCGACAACCCGGGCCGTACACATGTACAGCTGATTTGCCAGGCGCACCCGTCGTCCAGCCACCCCTGAAGGGTTTGGGAAGCCTTCGGGACACGCTGCGCCGCGCAAAGGTACAGCCTTGAGCTTGCCTGATGTGCCCGACGAAGCCCTCAGTGGTACCTCGCGAGCCCTCGAGCATGTCCCGCACGGGGCGCCAGCCAGACAATTTCGCCCCTGCGAACTTCATCAAGAATCAAGGCCTGGGCACTTGCACGGGTGAGGTCTGAACGAACACGCGGCGCCTCGCTCGACCTGGGCAGAAAGCATCGGTCAAAACTCAAAGCATCACCCCCAAGCCGAATGAACGCCGAAGAAACCCCTGCAGACCCGCAGAAGAGCTCCGAAAGATACGGCACTCTCGAAGGCTTGGCACGGTTGGGTCTATCGCCGACCGGATGGGCCCTCCGTTCGGGGTGCCAAGGGGTCTATCGCCGACCGGATGGGCCCTCCGTTCGGGGTGCCAAGGGTGAGGGACAGGAAGTCTCGAAGTTGTTTCTTGTACGGCCTTTGGCAAATGGAATCCTGAAGGTGGCACAAAACCCAATTCCAGGGGTAACTTGGCTCTGGCCGCGTCCCCCCGCAGCACCATTCGGCGTGAAGCCCACCCAAAGAATACGTTTGCCCCTCCAAGGCCACGTTGCATGTGCAATATGCGCATCCAGAAAACATGGCCCGGGCTGCATAGACATAACCACACCTTTGACTGACGGATTGTCCGGTGCCTGCCCGCTGCCCTCGGAAGACTCACTCCAGACACCGCTTTCTTGAAAAGTGTCAGCAGCACCAGGATATTGCAAAGCCGCCCATCATTGCTGACATCCCTAATGTCGCTTCGACAGAAGATTCTGAAAGATTGCACGCGCAGCGAAGGTCCGTTTGGGAGCTCGCCGCCGAAGAAAACGACAAATGACCTCGGTACAGGAAGGGACAAGATTCGTATCGGCCCGAAGTCCGCGAAAACTGCCCTGAGCATAGGCCCTGTGGTCCAGGACTTTGTATCGTCGCCCGCGGAGCCCCAGCTAGGAGTCTCCCCGGCACTGATTCAAACCGCTTCAAGACATCTTGCAAAGAAGGATGATCAACCATCATCCGCGCTTGTTGCTCAATCCCATAAGGAAAATCGGTGGGCAAGTGCCCAACATCTTCAAACTGGCATGGCAAGACCCCACCTTGGTGGGAAGTCGCAACGATCCTAGTCACGTCTTCTTGACCTTTGGGCACTGCAGGAAAGTATGGTCCTTCGACTCACAGCCTGGGGCCACAGCACACATGAAGCCCCTTGTCACACTAGGCCCCACATGGGCACAGGTGCCCAAGTAGGAGCCGTAGCATATCGGCTCATTGGCTTCAGTCCGCGGAGCCCCTCCACTCAGCCCTTGCGGCATGACACCACGCAACTTTTGCGTTCCTGCTGTGCCTCAGGAAGAGGAGGAGGCGGAGGCACCCCAGTCTCTTTGACCGGCTCTCTTCTTCTTCTTACACTTCCTAGGACCGGTCTCCTCCCCATTCGACTCATGATCCTCACCCGTCGGCTGAGCACCTTTGCCAGCCGACCCCATCGGCATGAGGATCCAATGAATCGATGCCATCCGTAGCACTTTTGCAAGATGGTCATCCAGGGGCAGCTTGCCTGGACCAGTGGTGGAGAAGCCTGCCCTAGTCAGACGCGCCAACTGCACGTGGCACTCTAGATCCGCTGCCTGGACTTGTGTCGAGTTGACACGCGAAAGCCCTGGCAGAGGTTCCTTCTGAAGCTCACGGATCAAGAAGCACACCAGCGTCTCATGCGCAGAAAAGACACGTAGCCCCCGAGCTCATACGCAATTTCCCTCCTCCGCAGCGCTTGGAGAACCTCCAGCACCGTATCCACCTAGGTTCTCAAAGCATCCGGGAAGCAACAGCCTTCAGCATCCCACTGCGTTCATGTGTTCCCCATCCTTTCGCACGCAGAGTATCAATGGCCCCTGGCTGAGGCCGACCTTCGCACGTCTCGAGAGAAAACTGCCTCACTATCTACCACCGACATTCGAGCAGCAAGCTCACAGCCGAAAGAAACTTCAACTTTGCATCCAGAGAACATGTGTGCAGCCCGTGAGCTCCCTCTGCACTCCAACTTGCATTCAACGTCATTCACGCAGCACTTGAATCCCTAACAGGTAGTCGCGCCATTGCGTCAACGCTCTGACCAGCACTTCGCACATTTGCAAGGCTCGTAGACGGAGCACCCCTTTGGTCTCCTATAGTTGGCATTCGCCTGCCGGCCAAAAAGAAAATGTGGCCTCACCTTCACTGTCGGGATTCCAAAATTCGCACCTTATGCAGACACCACTGACGACATGTCGAAAGACGGAGCCTTCAAGAGCGTCCGCTGCTCCTTGGATGGTCTCGGCCACCTGCTCTCCCGCGAACTCGGCCATCCTATCAGCATCCTCGGACTCCTCCTCATCCCGAAGAGACGCCGACGAGGAAGCACCTTCAGACACCTGACGCACTTCGGAGGAAGCTGGCTCGGGCCCCAGTGCATGCAGACCCAGGCGCGGCACCCCCAGGATCCAAAGGCTCCTCAGGACTCCAGACATCGTCAACCTCAGGTGCTATGGACGGACCAGCCTCCTCCTCGCTGCGCAGACCGGAAAGGCCCCGGCACCTGAAGCATCACTCAGTTTCCTCAGGGCATCGTCGAAGGAGCGACACCCTATCCATCTGCCAGACCTTGTGCGGTCCGGGTCGAAGAGTCCCCCAGAAATAACCTCTAGGAGCCCTTCAATGAACTCAAGAACCGGAGCCATCGCATCCCTTCCATACTCCAATGGATCCTTCGCCCCGGCTCAACGTGGTAGCCGGCGAGCGTCGCAGCCCAGTCGAGCCGAGAAATCCCGGAGTGATCCCCGCGCAGGCAAAAAAAAATCTGTTCCTCAAAACAGCCGTCCTCTGGGCCGTCTCGTGGTCGTACTGCGAAGTCTCCACAAAACCTTTCCCTCCAGAGACATTCCAAGAAAGGCTCCAAGCCCAGTGCTGGGAGTCTTCCCACCTCAGCCCGGCATGAATGCAGAAGCAGCCATGCCCCACGAAGACGGCCTCCTGCCCTTCTGCGGTCGCCGCGAACCACTCCAGGAACTTGACAGCACCACGGATGAGCAACGAATCCAGGATACTCTGTACTTCGGCCCCCCCAGAACTCCCCTCGCGAAGCCCACGACCTCGAGGAATCTAGGAGCCTTGGTGCGGGCGCCTCGGTCGACCGTCGCAGTCCCACCTCCGGTGGCTCGCCACTTGCAAAACATGAGCAGAGACGCAGCCCTGGTCCTCGGAGTCGAGGCAGCTTTGCGATGGAAAGCAGCGGCACTCGAAGCATCGACGGCAGCAAGGTCCTCGCTCCGTTGGGCCTCCCGGAAAGATCTCCCCAAAGCAGTAGCCTCCCCGAAGACACGACGAGGACCTTCCACCTGTCCAGGGCTGCCGACCTCCTGTGATCCAGAACATCCACCCACGAAGAGCATTGCCGCGACGACTTCCGCCACTTGGCCGCTCGAGGCTCCCACGGGGGGACAACCTCCGACCAGCTTCGATCCTCAAAACTGAGTCCGCAGCAGATGGAGTGGACGGCACCGGCCACATAGGGCTCGGAATGATCGAACCAGCTGCATTCCCCAGGATACCTTTCAAAGACCTTGCTCCCAGCCAAGTATGGTCGCTTAGCCCTGGCCCCATTGGCCCAGGCGTCCGCCCTCAAGGACAGGGGTTCCTGGCCTAAATCGGTCTTTGTAGGCCCAACCCCCTTCATACTTTCAAAGACCGAAGCGCAGAAGTCTAGGGTCCAGCTTCAAGATGGACGGCCGTCGTCACGCATCTTGGCAAAAGCAGGAGCATCGGTAGCGGAGCGCCGGAGTCCATGCAAACTAACCCTCGCACACCGACTTTAGCGCCCAAGAGCCTGCTAGTCAGCACGTGCCTGTGGAGTGGCGCACGAAACGCACTCACACAGGGGGACTCCAGGCTTCAAAAATGACCGCCGTGCTCGTTGCTTGAAATGAAACATGCCCCAACATGTGCACTTGCACAGTTCTGCAAAACTGACATGCCGACATGACTGTTTGCAAAATCTGTTGGACATGACAAAATTTTAAACACAAAGAAATGGAACATTTCGCAGTCACTGAAAACAAGAGAAAGATTTTTACACGTTTCACGTGTACCACGTGAAACTTTCAAGCGAGGACATAAAAGA